GAAACAAAACTTCCAGAACACGGCCACACAGCCCGGAAGACCCACACCAGCCATCGAACTTTCCAGAGCTACTGGAAATAATACTGTGAACAGTTAACATAGGCAGTCCCAAAGGGAGGGACCTTTGGTTCGTCCAGCTTTAACCTTTTCATGTATAGAATAGCAGCAGAATAGAGATGGAAAGTAGGACACCAGGTGATCCCTCCTACATTCTGTACCATTAAAGAAACAATTCAGTGGATGGGGATGATGCATCCAACAGTTACTAGATGCCTATAGGGTTTGGTTACAATAAAGTAAGATCTATGCTGCCTCGGAAGTAAGGTCTGTCAAGAAAAGATTAGACATGTGGCAGATACAGCTTTTCTTGGGCTATGACATTTCAGGTACAGATAGTCCTGAATTAACAACCACTCATTCAGCGATTGTTCAAAGTTATGACAGCACTGAAGGAGAAGTAGTTACGCCTAGTCCTCAGAGTTCCAGCCGTCCCAGCATCCCGCAGTCATGTAATCAAACTTTGGACACTTGGCACTGGCTCACACTTACGATGGTTGCAGTGTTCGGCAGTCACGTGACCGCCAGTTGTGACCTTCCCTGCCAGCTTCCCACAAGCAAAGTCAATGGGGAAGCCTGCAAGTTGCTCATGCCATTTTTTTCTCCTGAGGAGCTCTGCGACAGAGTGCAAGATGCCAGGGATCTCGTACTCCATAGCAGGTGCTCGGGCCGCAGCACCCCCTCCCCTGCCCAGCCGTGCTCGACTCACAGCAGCCCCCCCCTCTCCAACCCGCAAGCACTCGCTGCAGCGCTTCCCCCCACCCTGCCTCACTCTGTAGTACTCAACACCCAGCTTACCAGCTGCCGGGGACTTGTGACTTCCTGCCAGCTTCCCCATTGACTTTGTGGGAATCTGGCAGGAAGTTGCAAGTCACATTCATGTAAGGTCCTCGCTTAACAACCCGCGATCCTCACTTAACGATGGCCACAAGGACTGCTAGGATTGTCGTTGCTAAGCAAATGCAGTCACGTGATATTGTGCTTTATCACCCCATCGTTTAGCAATGAAAATTCCAGTCCCAATTACCATTGTTAAGTGAGGACTACCTGTAGCGTATGGGAGGTTTGAATACTTCTCTGGAGAGGTAATGACAATTAATTAGATTTAGAGGTTGCCCAACTCCATAAGATTTGGGGCAGCTAATATTTCCCAATCTGGAACCAGTTTGGTGCAGGTGTTAATGTGCTGGATTAGAAACTGGGAGACCATAAATTCTAGCCTTTCCTCAGCCAGGAAGGGTGATTTTGAGGCAGCCATTATCTCTCAGCCCAACCTACCTCACAGGGTTGTTGTTGTGGAAAAAACAGGAGGCAGGAGCCTTATCTACACTACTTTATTTTGCACAAAATAAAGGTGAGATATAAATCTAATAATAAAATAAATGTCCATGTTTATAGAAAACTAGCACGTCAGGAAAAAAAATCAGTTTGGTGCTTAAATTTGAAATTTCTTCATTAAAATGCTCTTTAAAATATTCATTAAATTAAATGCTCTTACCTGTAGCCTAAAACAGAACCGACCACTTTATCCTCTTGCATCTCCTGTATCAACTGGGTGTTGCTTTCATGTAAACAGAGACAGGATAAAGCTGGCTGCATTCCCACTGCTCTCTGTAATGAATGCATTTGCTGCCCTGTACCGTTTCAAGTTGAGGTGAGAGTGCCTTGTTTTAATGTTGGTCCCAGAAAAAAAACATTGGTGCACGGGAAAATAGCATGCAGGATAAATTGAAACAGTAAAGATAGGATGATGGACAGAGAATCTCTTCTATTTGGCCATAAAAGAAAGCATGACTTTTAATTAATGAGTAACAAGGGAGAAGTATCTGTAGGTATGTTCTTGGAACAGTTTAGGGTACATCCTAACAAGGTTTTTACTGTGCAATTGTCCAGTCTCACTCAAAGAATTTTATGGGAAGGTCAAGATGTTGGAGTCTTCCATCTGCAATCCTCCTCTGTTTTCGCATCACTCCATCAGCCTTTTTGTCTTCTTACCATAATAAGGAAGGATGGAAAGATGCAGAGCTGCACTATGTCCTTTGACTGACAGGGATGGAAACTCTCTGTCTGAAACTACTCTAGATCTATTCTCTAGATATAAAAGCTGTTACTCAGAAGCTACCTTCCTTAACCCCTCCGTTTCCTGCACTTCCATGCTGGCCTCACTTCCTTTGTCTTTAGTCTCATGTATATGTTTGCCTTTGGGAAAGGCTCAGTCTGTATCTTCAGTTGACCATCATGTTATAAATGATGGAGAAGGCTATTTCCAAAAAGACATTTTTTTTCTGATGTACTAGCCTTCTAAATGTAGGTTTTTTCCCTTCCTAATATCTAAAAAAAAAGTTTGTAGGAACGCTCATTTTATTTATTTGGTCTGTTTCTGCATTTCCTGCAACAAATGGGGCTTATTCCCAAATCATGCACGTGGCTGCCCAAATGTAATCACTCCTCTGAGTTTAGGGTCTAAAATTCTCTAACAGCACTACTGGCCTTGGACCTAATCCCCTCCCCACCCCACCCCACCCCACCCTATTCAAAGAGACAGCTGAACAAGTGGATGAAATGGCTCCTTCTTCACCCCCACTTTGCCTGGGTTCACCCAACATGTTAAATCTTAAATTTAGGTTTAACAAAGCATCACTGCTACATTTCCATAAGATGCTAAGCCACCATATTAGAGCTTAACATGATGGCCTGGTTCAGAGAACATATTAAGACAATCCCTAGATGCTCAGCGCCTGTTGAACCATCAATTGCCCAATCCTTTGAAAATGCAAAGGATCTGCAAAATCTAGTAATAAAAGTCAAGGAGTGCAAAATGAACTCCTTGACTTAGTTAGGTCTTCTTTATTGAACTCTTCTTCAGTAAAGAAGACCTAACTAATGACAACAGTTATAACAACCAGCCTTATAACTGACAACGAAGATATTGGGGGGGGGGGCAACATTTCCACCTTTTAGGATCAACCATCAACAGTAGAGGAACACGCAGCCAAGAAAAATGCCACAGGCTAGCACTTAGTAGAGCAGCCATGAAGTCCTTGGAAAAAGTATTCAAATGCCAGGATATCTCTCTATACCTACAAAGATCAGAATCGTGCAAACCATGGTATTCCCTGTGACGCTCTAAGGAGGCAGAATCTTGACTTTGAAGAAGCAGAATGGGAAGAGTATTGATTCTTTGGAACTTTGGTGTGGGAGGAGACTCCAGAGAATATCATGGACAGCCAAGAAAACAGAGAAATAAACCCTCGAACAATTCAACTCAGAGTTTTCACTGAGGCACAAACGACCGGGCTCAAATTATTCTGCTTCAGACACATTATATGAAGACCCAGCTCTCTGGAGAAGGCTTTAATGCTGGGAAAGGTGGAAGGAAAGAGGAGGAGAAGACAATCAGCAGCCAGGCGGATGGACTCGGTTGCAGTGACGATGGGTGCACCCTTGGGAGACTTGAAAGAATAGGCTACGGACAGATCGTCACGGGAGAAAATGTAGTTGCTAAGAGTCGACACCGACTTGATGGCACGTAATCAATCACATGTTCTTTGTACCTTAATGCATACCGCTGCTAGGCATTTTGACGCAGGAACGAGTATATAACTAACCCGAGCAAAGAATGTCTTGTCTACATGCGCAATCGAAGCCCCCTCCCCCGGGAAACTGAGGCTTCCAGGGTCCCGCCACTCAGGTCTTTCCGCCGCGGCTGCGAAGCCGGGAGAAAACCCCTTTGCCCCAAAGCTTAAGCCCAGCTCTTCCCCATACGCGCCCTCCAAACGACTGCGGACTGGGGCCGTTGCAATGGGAAGGGCTTGCGAGAGCGCCCGGTTGGAGAAAGCTGGGCGGACCCCCAGCCGCGCCCCTTCCCCAGAGCAACAGAGGCGCGCCACCCGTTCGCTGCGAGCCCCTTTCCGCGCACAGCGGCTCCCTCCCGGCCGCGCCTCTCTCCTTCTCCAGCCGCTGGGCCAATGAGGGACGCGGTGGGCGGAGCCAAGCCTGGCTCCCTCCCCGAGAAACTTGAAGGAGCGAAGTTGCAAACGCTCTAAATAGAGAGCAGGCTCCTCGCTGGGAGAAGCACATGGTTAGAGCAGGGGGAGTTGCTGAGTCGGGGCATCCGCCGTCCGCGCGGCGTCCTCCGCATCCCCGGGTGATCGCTTGGTACCCCGATTCCCCAGCTCCTCTCTGATGGGGAGTCTCGAGTGAGATGTATCGCTCTGGCTTCCGCTGCCAACGCCACCACGCCGTGATCGGACCGCCGGGGAGGACTGAAAAGGTAGCCGCGGAGTCTCCGCCAGTGCCTCCAGCAACCCAGAGGAACGGGGAGCGGCGGCTCGGAGCGCTTTCCGAAACGCGCCGGCGATCGGGTCCACGAAACTTTCGAATCGGGGTCGCTTGGCGAAGCCCTCGGAAGTGGTGTATGCGACGCTGCCCTGGAATCTGAAAAACGAGGAAAAACAGCTGGTTTTACTAGAAGAGGGGTGGGAAGCCCCACTGTGACAAAACAGGACCGATTTTTAAAGTGACAACTCAAGATTAGAAGGGGAAAACCCCCCAAGAATCAGGCAAGAAAGCCACCCTCAAGTCTGTATCTGCCTGACCTGCAGAATTATATTTGGGAGTTGGGGGGTATTGTCTCCCCACTTTTCTGAAATAAGAATAACCCCCAGGCTCACCTTGTTCCCACTCCCACTTCTCTTCTCCCTCTCAAATGCAATTTTTTTCTTTCCCTTATGTTTGGCATCTCCTTCTTGTCCCCCTCCACCTTTGAACTGAACTTTCGCACCCTTGACCGCTGTGGTTTATCCACTTCCACACTTTTCTGCCTGGCCTTCTCTGGGGCTGCCACCGCATTCAGCCCCACCATGCTCTCCAACACCACCAACAGCTCCTCTAGCGGGATCGTCGGACTGGCTGAGAGCAGCAAGCCCCTGACCATCCCCATGGTCATGTTCATTTTTGGGGTAGTGGGAAACCTCACGGCCATTGTGGTTCTTTGCAAGTCCAGGAAAGAGCAGAAGGAGACCACGTTCTACACACTGGTCTGTGGATTGGCTGTCACCGACCTCTTGGGGACTTGCCTGGTCAGCCCAGTTACTATTGCTACATATCTGAAGAACGAATGGCCTGGTGGGCAACCATTGTGTGAATACAGCAGCTTCATCCTCCTCTTCTTTGGTCTGTCTGGACTCAGCATCATCTGTGCCATGTCCATAGAGAGGTACCTGGCCATCAACCATGCCTACTTTTACAACCATTACGTGGATAAGAAACTGGCAGCACTCACTCTTTTTGCTATCTACGTTTCTAATGTCCTCTTCTGTGCCATGCCAAGCATGGGTTTGGGGAAGACAAAACTCCAGTACCCAAACACATGGTGCTTCATAGACTGGCAGACTAACATGTCCACCCATGCTGCTTTCTCGTACATGTATGCTGGCTTCAGCTCCTTCCTCATTATGGTCACTGTGGTTTCCAACATCTTGGTGTGCATGGCCCTGATCCGCATGCACCGACAATTCATGCGGCGCACCTCCCTGGGAACAGACAACGCCACTAGCCGCTTGTCAGACTTTCGCCGGCGCAGGAGCTTCCGACGCATGGCTGGAGCAGAGATCCAAATGGTCATCTTGCTCATTGCCACTTCCCTGGTCGTAGTAATTTGCTCCATTCCTCTAGTGGTGAGTAATTTGGTCATCCTTTTCTTTCCAATATCATCAATTGATTTCCCTTTAGGGGAACATTGTGGCTGCAAGACAAAGTTTCTGCTTTGTAGTTGTCTTATCTAAAACTTTTTTACCCAGGAAAAGCAAGGAGCTGAATCTATTTCAGTTCTTTTTCTTGACTTGACACAATGTTTAACACAAAACACTAAGAAGCACTTTTGAACTGCTCGTTAGCTGTTGACCTACTCATAGAGCTGAGAAGAGGATCCAAAAACACCTTCATTCTTGCCGATCTTTTAAAGAAATCCATTACTGTCAAAGTGAAGGTAAAATAGATTTTAGCCTCATACAGGAAAACATTTTAAGTTCCCTAAAATGTCAGGAGCTCTTGCAATATGCAAGCAACCCGCCCACAGAATAGTTGTGGCACATTATTTGAAGTTAAAATGGCATACCTTCGCTTTCTTTCAAAGGAGAAGTAAAAAGTTTTTACTCAGAAGTAAGTATCATGGTGTTTTCAGTGGGTTATTTTTCAGGGGCATAAGCTTGCAGCTTTAAATTCAGATATTTCCACTTCATTGGCTTGTTGGCTAGACTGAACAATTAAAAAAACAAGTTCCTTCCATGGGATGTTGTAGAAATATAGATTAAGGTGTGGCCTAACATAAAACATATTGGAATTGCATGACACTTCGGGCTGCCAAATGTCATGGAGTTGCTTGCAGTTCGGTGTTTATAGCATTAGCATGAGGTCCACAGATACACTCAAGCAAAAAAATGTTAAAGTATCTTAAATTATTAGAGAGAGGTCTATCAGGCTAAAAGATTTACAGTCTGATAGAGACTGCTTCCCAAATAGCTATTTTTCAGGATTTTTTAAAATTAAAATGAGCACTGTTCTGGACTCAAGGAAAGCAAGTTTTTTCCTGTGAGAATGGTAGGAGTATGACAGTTGCATGCATTTGTGGATTGTTGCACGGATTATTTTGATAACTGTTTTGTGCTAGCTGAAGGTGTTCTCTTTCCCACTTGACTCTAAGGAAGGGAGAAGGGGTAACAACATTCCAATAAAATGCAGCAAACTCCTTTTTCTTGGCGGGGATATATTAAACAAACAACTGACAGGCAGAGTTGCTATTATCCCTCTCTTTCATCCTGTAAACTAAGTGGTCCTTTAGAGAGGAGCGTGGAGGACACGGTTGGACATGGTAGAGGGGGCATTTTGTAGGCAAGAGACAATCTAAAATTGCTCCCTATCAAGAGTGCAGTAAAGGCAGAGAACCTCATGACCAAGAGGGACTGGGCAAACCACAAGCTTGAGTTATTTAGGTAAATGCTATAATTTTACTAGTTAGGCCAGTTTTGCTACATAACTAAAATAATCCAGCTATGCATACCTGGTCTGTGATACCAGTGCATCTTAAAAGTAGTCCAGCTCATGTTCTTCAGTGTGTAACTGTATACTTTTCCATTGGTGTTTCTTACTGAGACTACATTTTGCTCCATGATCTTTGACTTAACAGCACAATTCTTCCTGTTGTAAGTGGTAAAAATAAACATTAAGGTTTGTTGGGAATTTCCTTACAAAAGATGTGGTAGCAAATCAAGGATGATTGTTTTCTTGCAGTGCTTGTTCTCTTCTCACATGGAAATGACCCAGATGGGGGAAAAGAATATGAAAAGCAGTCCCCTACAATGCACAATCCAGTATGATCCTACATGTCATCTTGCGCAATGAGAGTTCATGTGTAGCCTGATAGCAAAAAGAGGAAATTGTACTTAATGAATCTTGAGCTTCTGGAGGGGAAACAGCTAAAATTGAACTCACTCCTTTCACACATGGTATTTTTTTGTTGTTGTTCCAGTAATATAATAATAACCCGATCATTTTGATATTGTTGTAATATGTATAAATAGTAATTGAGATACCTGTTTCTTCCATCTATATATTCTAAATATCAGTTCCTGCTTTTAAAAGCTAAATAATATTGAGGGGGCAGTAGTAGAACCTCCCACACATTTTGACATGATAGCTAGCTATTTTTGGATAAGCTGCTTATAAAAGCTTCCTGAATGTAGTAAAATTAGAACTGAGCTACACGACTTGTTTCTGTTTCAGTTGTTGGTTTACTTTATGGAGGGACTTACATTTTCAGTACCTTAAACAAAATGGAGAAACAGGTCTACTATCACCTCCATTTGCAGTGCAAAGTGTTCCGGTCCACTTATCCTTCACCAGGAGTAAAAATAAGGTCTCCCTTGAGCTGTGTTCATCTTTTGGTGACTACTTGGACACATGCAGCTTTTGTTTGTTATTCTTTTTTCTTTCATCAACGTACATGGCTGCCCAACTCACCCTTGCAACTCTGGCTTCCAATGCCTTGCTTCTGGGACTTCTTTGTTTTATTTTATCTTCTAATCTAGACTACAGCCCTGGTGGTCTCTTGGTGAGGTCCATCCCTACTTAGCTTTTACAAGTTCAGTGAAGGTACTGCTGCCACCTGCTGTGACCCATGGCATGGGATCTTTTCAGATTTTAGATAGGCAGTCCTTGAAGTGTCATCACAAATCCGTTTGCTAGTTTGCTTGGGACACGTGTCTCTGGCTTCTGCCAAACATAATGCTTTGCCTAATAGAGGGCTCTATAAGATTGACTCTCCTCTGCATTTTTCAACCAGGTAGAAATCACCAACATTTCCTTCTGAGAAAGAGGAGTTTCTGTTTCATGCCTTTTCCACATTAATAGGAGGAGAGTCATCTTCTCTCACAAACCTCCTCAGCATTTCCAGAATGCTGGAGAGAAGTTTCTGAGATGACCACAAATATGTAAGCCAGACCAACGTTTGTGAATCCTCTCACTTTCAAAATGTTGTGATTAAGACACCTAAGGGCAGAAATTGGTGACCAAGTATCTGACAACTCTGTTCACAGATCCAGGTAAGGTAGAAAGTTCTGTGCCTAAAGAAGAAGATAACAGATGAGAAAGCACTTGTAACTTAATGGTGTTTCATAATGCAGGAGGTTAAAAAAAGATTTCACAAAACATTAAATTAAATACAGTAACTGCTGTGGGAACAGAATGCTGGACTGGATGAATTTGTTATTTGTTCCAGTAGGGATGTTATTAAACCCATCTGAGATTCAAACTGAAATAGAACATAAGAAATGATTGTCCAAATTGTTCATTAGAAACAGCAGTTGGATACCAAGGTGGGACTAATAGTCCAGTTCTATACATACATTCTAGCATCCCATGACTACAGTTGACTACAGTTAAGTTTAATTTTGAATAAATATGCTTAGATGTGCTTACTTGATAACATGGGAAACAACTAAATGAGTCTATACCCTTTTATCTTTGCAATGATCCTGTGAAGAAGCTTAGACTAGAAGAAATGTGATTTAGTTGAACCTACCCTGTTTGTTACTTGAATAAATGAGTATCTCAATGCAAGTCTGATTAATCCAAATTCAGTATTGTCTGTTGGTAGATGTCTTTTTTGATGTGAAGATGTATCTAGGCTTGTTCTGGTATTACAGAGCAGTACTCTGGTGTAGCTGTGAAATTTTGCAGAATTTTGTATTAAGGGAAAAAGATTGCCTTCAAACAGCTGACAAAAAAGTTTCATCAAACAGTACTTTTTATAAAAAAAATTAAAGGTACAGGAAGAATAGAAAACAATGAATGTCCTGCTGTTAAAGCTTGTTAATTGACTATGAAAACAGTAAAATGTTAAGTAACTTTAATTTGTAAAACCCTCTGGAACTCATTTTGGAAACTGGTATCCTTTCATTTCATAATAATCTCAGCAATGAAAAATCAAGTAGAAACAATTAAACTCTGTTGGAAAGCTTGAAGAAAGTAAAAGGAGGAGAAAGCACATGGAAAAATTAGATGTGTTATTTCTACTTATGAATTGAAAACTGTTGTAGATTCATTGTCAGGCTTCTTGTCTGAATCCAACAGATAGATTTTAGAGCTATATACGTGTTGTTTTCCCCTTGCTCTATAGTCACAGTAACTTTTGAGGTTGACTCAAATAAGTTACCTTGTTGAACAGGAATTTGAATCCAGATCTTATCAGTATAGTACACACACTTTATTTTGGTATAACACACTGGAGAACTGTAGTGGTGCTCTATGGAATTTTAAGTATAGCAGGACCTCATATTAGACCTAACCGTCTGCCAAGTACTCATAGACTAGGGTCACCCAGTAAACTATAATACTACAAGATAGACTACAATAAATTGGGCAGTTTGTGATTCAACAAGTTATGGATCCAGCCAGTGTCTTAGAATGTTATGTGAACCAGGCCAACCTGTTAAGAAATATGATTTATTTATTTAGACATAGTGTGTTTTGTTAATCTGAGTTTAGTGTTTGGTTTATTGTACCATTTAGACTTTGGTGTTGGGTTTATTGACTGACACTGCATATGTGCCTTTGAAATTCCAGTGAGGTTTCCCAAATACAGATGCTTAATTTCTGTAGTGAGACACACTGGGAATGATGCCTGTCAGAAATTATGAACTTCAGTCTGAAAGACATTTTACCCTTATTATCAAATAAAATTCAGCGTTCGCTGAACTTTGTGGAAAGACCCGATATTGCATTATACTGGAGAAGTTTACAAGAATCGATGAAGGAGAAGAAGACAGGGTCTTCATCCCTAATTTCTTCATTTTAAATGAGAAAGCTTCTTATACATACTTATTTAAAAACACTTGTATACCATCACATTTCAATTTGTTTCTCTTATAATTCATTAATTTTACAAATGCAACCAAAGAAAAGACAAGAATAAAAAATAAACAGAGCCTCCCAGTTTCTAGGACATGCTGTGCATTATTATATTCATATTTTTAACAGGCTTAATTTGTGTATTTTTTTAGTTGCCCAGGGAAATCAGATGGGTGCCCCTTCTCCCAATATGGAAATACGGTCTTGAGCCTCTGTTTGTCATACAGTTATTTCAGTATACAAAATGTTTATTCAGTGCTGTCTGAATTAA